TTCCATAAGTGCTCCAGTGTGGCTATATCTTCTACAAGTGCCCCAGTGTGGCTATCTCTTCTTCAAGTGCCCCAGTGTGTCTATCTCTTTTTCAAGTGCCCCAGTGTGGCTATCTCTTCTTCAAGTGCCCCAGTGTGGCTATCTCTTCTACAAGTGCCCCAGTGTGGCTATCTCTTCTACAAGTGCTCGAGTGTGGCTATCTCTTCTACAAGTGCTCGAGTGTGGCTATCTATTCTTCAAGTGCCCCAGTGTGGCTATCTCTTCTTCAAGTGCCCCAGTTTATTTCTTTTTCAAGTGCCCAAGTGTGGCTATCTCTTCTACAAGTGCTCCAGTGTGGCTATCTCTTATACAAGTGCTCCAGTGTGGCTATCTCTTCTTCAAGTGCCCCAGTGTGTCTATCTCTTTTTCAAGTGCCCCAGTGTGGCTATCTCTTCTTCAAGTGCCCCAGTGTGGCTATCTCTTCTACAAGTGCCCCAGTGTGGCTATCTCTTCTACAAGTGCTCGAGTGTGGCTATCTCTTCTACAAGTGCTCGAGTGTGGCTATCTATTCTTCAAGTGCCCCAGTGTGGCTATCTCTTCTTCAAGTGCCCCAGTTTATTTCTTTTTCAAGTGCCCAAGTGTGGCTATCTCTTCTACAAGTGCTCCAGTGTGGCTATCTCTTATACAAGTGCTCCAGTGTGGCTATCTCTTATACAAGTGCTCCAGTGTGGCTATCTCTTATACAAGTGTTCCAGTGTGGCTTCTTTTACAGTTGCTCCAGAGTGGCTATCTCTTCTACAGGTGCTCCAGAGTGGCTATCTCTTCTACAGTTGCTCCAGTGTGGCTATCTCTTCTACAGGTGCTCCAGCGTGGCTATCTCTTCTACAGGTGCTCCAGTGTGGCTATCTCTTCTACAGTTGCTCCAGTGTGGCTATCTCTTCTACAGGTGCTCCAGTGTGGCTATCTCTTCTACAGGTGTTCAAGTGTGGCTATCTCTTCTACAGGTGCTCCAGTGTGGCTTCTTTTACAGTTGCTCCAGTGTGGCTATCTCTTCTACAGTTGTTCCAGTGTGGCTATATCTTCTTCAAGTGCCCCAGTGTGGCAATCTCTTCTACAAGTGCCCCAGTGTGGCTATATCTTCTTCAAGTGCCCCAGTGTGACCATCTTTTCTACAAGTGCTCCAGTGTGGCAATCTCTTCTACAAGTGTTCCAGTGTGGCTATCTCTTCCACAAGTGTTCCAGTGTGGCTATCTCTTCCACAAGTGTTCCAGTGTGGCTATCTCTTCCACAAGTGCCCTAGTGTGTCTATCTCTTTCACAAGTGCCCCAGTGTGTCTATCTTATACAAGTGCTCCAGTGTGGCTATCTCTTCTACAGGTGCTCCAGTGTGGCTTCTTTTACAGTTGTTCCAGTGTGGCTATCTCTTCTACAGTTGCTCAGTGTGGCTATCTCTTCTACAGGTGCTCCAGTGTGGCTATCTCTTCAACAGGTGCTCCAGTGTGGCATTCTCTTCTACAGGTGCTCAAGTAAGGCTATCTCTTCTACAAGTGCCCTAGTGTGACCATCTCTTCTACAAGTGCTCCAGTGTGGCTATCTCTTCTACAAGTGTTCCAGTGTGGCTATCTCTTCCACAAGTTCTCCCGGTGTGGCTATCTTTTCTACAAGTGCCCCAGTGTGTCTATCTCTTCTACAAGTGCTCCAGTGTGGCTATCTCTTATACAAGTGTTCCAGTGTGGCTATCTCTTCTACGGGTGCTCCAGTGTGGCTATCTCTTCTACAGGTGCCCCAGTGTGGCTATCTCTTCTACAAGTGCTCCAGTGTGGCTATCTCTTATACAAGTGCTCCAGTGTGGCTATCTCTTATACAAGTGCTCCAGTGCGGCTATCTCTTATACAAGTGTTTCCAGTGTGGCTCTTTTACAGTTGCTCCAGTAGTGACTATCTCTTCTAACAGGTGCTCCAGAGTGGCTATCTCTTCTACAGTTGCTCCAGTGTGGCTATCTCTTCTAACAGTGCTCCAGCATGGCTATCTCTTCTACAGGTGCTCCAGTGTGGCTATCTCTTCTACAGTTGCTCCAGTGTGGCTATCTCTTCTACAGGTGCTCCAGTGTGGCTATCTCTTCTACAGTTGCTCATTGTGGCTCCTCTTCTGGTGCTCTATGTCTTCTTTTACAGTTGCTCCAGTGTGGCTATCCCTTCTACAGGTGCTCCAGTGTGGCTATCTCTTCTACAGGTGCTCATGTGTGGCTATCTCTTCTTCAAGTGCCCCAGTGTGGCAATCTCTTCTTCAAGTGCCCCAGTGTGGCTATATCTTCTTCAAGTGCCCCAGTGTGACTATCTCTTCTACAAGGGCTCCAGTGTGGCAATCTCTTCTTCAAGTGTTCCAGTGTGGCTATCTCTTCCACAAGTTCTCCAGTGTGGCTATCTTTTCTACAAGTGCCCCAGTGTGACTTCTTTTATAGTTGCTCCAGTGTGGCTCTCTTCTACAGTTGCTCCAGTGTGGCTATCTCTTCTACAGGTGCTCAAGTGTGGCTATCTCTTCTACAAGTGCCCCAGTGTGGCTATCTCTTCTTCAAGTGCCCCAGTGTGGCTATATCTTCTACAAGTGCTCCAGTGTGGCTATCTCTTCTACAAGTGTTCCAGTGTGGCTATCTCTTCCACAAATGTTCCAGTGTGGCTATCTCTTCCACAAGTGCCCCAGTGTGTATCTCTTATACAAGTGCTCCAGTGTGGCTATCTCTTATACAAGTGTTTCAGTGTGGCTATCTCTTCTACAGGTGCTCCAGTGTGGCTTCTTTTACAGTTGTTCCAGTGTGACTATCTCTTCTACAAGTGCTCCAGTGTGGCTATCTCTTCTATAAGTGCTCCAGTGTGGCTATCTTTTCTACAAGTGCCCCAGTGTGTCTATCTCTTCTACAAGTGCTCCAGTGTGGCTATCTCTTATACAAGTGTTCCAGTGTGGCTATCTCTTCTACAGTTGCTCCAGTGTGGCTATCTCTTCTACAGGTGCTCCAGTGTGGCTATCTCTTCTACAGGTGCTCCAGTGTGGCTATCTCTTCTACAAGCGCTCCAGTGTGGCTATCTCTTCTATAAGTGCTTCACTGTTGATACCTCTACATGTGCTCAAGCATGGATATATCTATATGTGCTCCAGTGTAGGTATCGCTATATGTGCTTCAGTGTGGAAATCTTATACCTGCTCCAATGAGAATATCTCTTATGTGTGCTCCAGTGTGGAAAGCTACCATTTATATTTAAATCTTACAAGCAAACACCACCCAAACAAAACACACCACAAACAAAACTGAGGAACCATTTGCATGCACTAAGACAAACATATTGAGGATTTGAATCTACGAATCTTTCCTGAGACTTTTTCTCAGGATTCACCTGCTGTAAACTCCAGCAGCAAGTTACGGTTGTCAGTTTATTTCTGGGCTTTCATCTTGTTTTACGTGCACATCCATTTGACAGATATGGCTCGACTTATGTAGACTCGGGATTCATCGCCTCTCAGGCAGGTGACTTTAAAGGGAACTCCCCTAATAAGTCACTTTGTACGACATGCTTGTTAAGAAGGCAGTGGGTCTATTCTTTTTCCCATCCTAAATGAGGTCTAGAGCCACATGAGGATTCACACAGACAACATGCTGTTTTTGCTCATTCAATAGAGGTCAATGAAGACGTGAACTTACTCTCGTATCATCTCCACTGCATCCTCATATTTCAGGCCAGCCTCCATCAAAGCCAAAGCTACAAGAACTGGTGCTCTGGTGACAGAGGAGAAAAACAGAAATATACTTCTTGTCTAAGGTCATCTACTCCTGTACTTTTTTTCTTAGTTATTTAAACAAAACATATTTTTCAGTATATAAATAATGAGAACATAAAAAATACACAGAGCAGCATCTGGTCGAGCGGTTAAGTACGCATGCAGGAGACCTGGGTTAGATTCCCAGGTAAGGTGATGAGATTTATTTTTCTAAGGGAAAAATAACCAAAGCAGAGGTCAAAGGAGATCTGAAATGACAGCATCAAGAAATGGACAAAACATTGATCACTTATGCTTTCAGAATGGCAAGCTGTTCCTTCTGATGCTCTTCTGACTCTTGTGGACTCGATGTGCCTCTGCCGTCTTGAATGCCTCGCTGCAACCAGTGGTTATACTTGATTTTGAAATGTCTAGTTGTACAATATTTACTGTTTGGCATTTGAAAAAGTGGGTCGCAGTCTTCGCAGCATCTGAATGTGTCTTTCCATTTCTTTATGTGACATATCAATTTGATTTTCAATAAATGACATTTTCAAATAAATTATTATTTATGTTTATATCAGATTTATTTTATGGTTTCAACCACGTAAAAAAAAAAATGGAACTTGACTTTTGACTAGTAGTTTATTATAGAAAATAAAGAATCTAGAAGAGGAAATACATAACAGAATAATATGGACTAAGTGGAATTTTATACACACACACACACATAATAGAGAATAACATGAAGAAAGCAGAAGAAAAAATATACAACAGATGACAGTGGGGACTAAAGTTCATAATGCCAATAACTGCTGACCAGGCACAGGGGAAAAGAGAAAGAGGCATTTAAAACTATTTTCTCTTCGTGTGGGCTCTGGGACCCCTTGAAGTGGGTGCACAGACTCCATGCCCTTAACAAGCAATTGTAAAAAGGCAACATTACTGAAATTGAGCAGAAAGGCACAGATATAGCCTAATTGTGAATCACAACACAGACACTGATCCGCCACAAGAGTAAATACATGAGAAAAAGGTCTGAAATGGAAGATGCTAATTAAAGAATACAATTTGAACATGGACAAACAGTACAGCAGTAGTTACAGAAGAAGAACTGGAAGGAAAAGAAGATATTTTCACCAAGTAATCAGAGCAACAGGATGAAACCAGAAGCAGGGCAGGTAAACCAGCAGCCTGCCTGTAGCTACAGCCTAGTATATCTACAAAAGAATACTGTGATTTACCTCCCTAAACCAGCCACACAATGGACGGCCACACAGCAGCCAGGGTCCTCTGTGAACCGTGTCTTCAGAAGGTTGAACCAGTCCTGGACCACAGACGGGGGAGGTGGACTCCCATCATCAAACTCCCAGTCCTTGGAAACAAAATAATTAAACAATCAATATTTGTATGTTTACCAAAATATTAAAAAAAAAAAAAAAAAAAAAAAAAATAACTAGCGGAAATAGAGTGAGCAATCACTGTAAGCACACAATAGACAGAACGCAATTCTTCATCTCTCACTCCAGTTACCTCAGCAAAGTTTTGCGGGAGATGTAAGGATCTTCTGTGTGCTCCTTCTAATGTGTTGTAGACAGATTTCTTATCGGCTCTTCTTGATGCCATTGTTCCATCTCTTGCACAGTCTTTCTTTTGCCATGTATTTATATTTCTTCAGCATTGCTCTCTTTGGCAGTCAGCACCAGGGAACTCATCAAAACTGTCTTACCTGTTGCTCTTTAATTAACTGTATGTCTGGTTTTAGCCCTAGTGTGTCTGCACATCTTCCAAATTATTCCTGGGCAGCACTAACAGTTAAATCTTGCTCTGGTTTGCTAGAATTGATGGAGATTCATCTTCAACAGAAAGCCCACTTTTCTTAATGAATGAGCAGACCAAGTGGCCAGTATAAAACAATAATACAAGGAAGACAAATCTTGGACATACTGATATAGTCAATGCTCAACTGACAAGACTGGTGAATAACTGAATTTCTGATGCTAACCCTACTGAATGATAAGAGAGTGAAACCTGACCAAGCATGTCTATGTTGTCTTCAGTCTATGTTAGTCTAAGTCAAATTATAAGCAACTACTCATGAGAACAGTCAGCAGAGGTAACTCAGGATGTCTGCTGCATTGGAGGAATGAATACACTTAGGAATGCTCGATGTGCAGCGATACTGTTTCACATAAACTATCTTCTGTCAGTCAGGCCACATCGTTCAGTTCACAAGTGCAATTTTTACGCAGATCTCTGGGGATCGTCGCAAGAGCTGAGGAGTTCGTGCACTGTATGATGCTCTTGGCAGGTGGCTAGCCGTTCTGCAGAGAGAGACCGAGCCATATGGGATAAAACCAGGTGCAATGAAGTAGAGCCTCTCAACATTAACCCATTTATATTAAAGTATAAAATTTCAAATTACCTATAAAAAAAAAAACCAAAGTATGAGGCTGCAATGCAGACAATTTAACTCGACCAATCAGCCTACCAGACGTGCGCACACATCTATTTTTTCTTCCTTCACCACTCCCTCCCAGACTACAGTCTGAAAGACTGACACCCAGTGACACAATAAGCCACTTTTTTCATGTGAATCCAACAAGAGCAGGCTGTCCTAAGGGTGAGGATAAAATAAGTTTATTATTTAATTTGTGTGATGATCATGTGAGAAATAAAAGATTTAAAAAAAAACTATTGGGGAAAAAAAAATTGATAAACTTGAGCAATAAAGACAAATGTTTCAGACGATGAGATGCTGGCAGCACGCATGTACAATATGAGAACAGAAACACCATGAAGCAGAGAAAAACCTAGAAGGAAATGGAGAAGTCACCGACAGCCTAAGATTTCACAATGACACCAAGCAATCGAGCGTGACCTAGCTCAGCTACCTATCTGTTAAATGTTATATCTCTGGTCTAAAATGTAGGATTAGGCATGGCAGAATGTTATGCGTCAACATTAATTTTGCTTCAACAGTGCTTTGCTAATGCAGTTTCCACATATGAATAGTAGTCTGTGGTTTCGCTGCCTGAGTTTAGTGCTTGGTGCAGCCCTGTGAGCAGTTTTTTTTTCCATGAGGAATACCTTTCATTTGTGCAACAGCTGAGCCATTGTATTCAAGGTGGCCAGTAGTCGGTTTTAAGTGTGGGCTGGTGAAATACCTTATGTAATAATTCTATTCTACTACTTGTAAGTGTTCACAAAGTGCTAATGAATACCTCTGATACATGACCTTCAAACAGCATAAAGAGATGTAATGTTAGTGATCAGAAATACACTGTGACCATGTTTTGTAGGACACTAGTACAACAGTTTGTTAGGCAAACTTACCAGCACTCTGATGCCATTCTCTGCCAGTTTATCTTTGCTATATGTTGGTTCACATACTCGTACAACATCTTTTACTCCATGCTTCTGCAACTCCTGCCAGACAAGCAACAAACCCAATGAGCTTGGATTATGCAGGTGTATGATATAGGTAATTAAGTGGATTTGTGGGAGCAGGATGCCATAAGCCGTGTTGCATGGAGGCAAATATAAAACAAATAGGGATAAATGAGAAAGATAGTGAAGAGTTGAACGTCTGAGAAGAAGCCCATTAAACACATGTGATAGCGACGATTGTCCTGAAATGCCAAGCTCTAACTGGAAAAGACAGTCTTTCTAGTCCCAGTTATCGCCACGGTCTGTAATTTGTAAGAGTAGACTAATTGGGAGCTTCCTTCGAAGCCAGAGTACATCTGCCAGAAGATTAACAACCAGAACTTATGCTGGAGCTTACCGCCAGTGAATGTGAAGAAGAAGATAGGGCACCTTTCACACAGATGCTCCTGGACACTTTTTGTGGCATTTATGGGAAATGCAGACATGCCTTCCCTCTATGGTCATTACACAATGACGAGTGTAGCCTCTGGTAGCCGAAGTTTGAACCTTTTGTACCTAATGTAGTATCTTTGATAGATGAACTCATGTGGGTTCCAGATCCTGCTGTGGGGAAAACTAGAATAGAGCCACTGCTTCACCAACAAGCACATCATAGGAGTAAACTAATTGGAAGACATCCTTCAAAATCAGGACCCATCTCATTGGTAAAGAATCAAGAGTCTGCATATAATTAAGCCAGATGTGTGAAATCAGAATAATGTCCAGAGGTGGAGAAACAGCCATAACTTTCTGCTGCAGTTTACAGCAGGTTAAGAAGGGGAAAAAAAAGAACATCTGAAGCTTTGCTATTACACAGCAAAACACTCACCGGCCAGACATAGTCATACAGTAGCAGTCTAGGGTCGAATGACAATTAAACAAAGCCAAAGGTGCTAGCCATTATCTATAGCACACGACAGAAACATGGAGGCTTGCATAAGGATTCATAAAACCAGCACAGAGCTTGCTGGTACCTGATGTAAGCTATGGATATCTCCTTAACACACATCACAGCAGCCGTAGCTTTTCCTGACAGCTGTGACCGACATTAGAGCATCACTACCATATGTATACTAATGTACTCTCAAATGCTGATCAATGCTTCCTAACAGTAACATTTATTTAGTGTTAATACTGTGAAGTTGATGAGTTTTACTTTATATCTGGACTGATTTTTTTAATTGTAGAATATTGCTGATATAAACAGGTGCTTAGTCTTCTTCTTCTTCTGCCTGTCTAGCACCCAACTTATGCCAAGTCGTTCTATCCTTTGCTATCGCACGCAGCTCTCCCTATGTCCTTCCCATCTTTCTAACTTCATTCTCCATGTGTTTTTTTGGCCTTCCTTTATTTATGGATGCTTAGTATCACCACCCAATAATTTACTGCCTTATAAGCTAGGTAAGCTAACTAAGACGCATTAGAATTATACTAAAGTATTTACAACAAGTACATACCAGCAGAAATTTGTCCAAGTTAGCATCTGTCGGACGGTCAGTTATCAGAAACCTCATGTTTTTGTGGCAGATCTCTGCCGGTTCGGGTCTGCGTGCTTTCATCATGGAGCCGGGTGCTGGTGTTGCAAGTTTCCAAACTGAGAATATCAAATTCCCCTAACAAAATTTCTCTAAATTGCTGAATCAAGGATACTTCCACTGCGTGAATAAATTCAAGTCTCCAAAAATGAGCAAATCTGTCAAATCTCAGACAAATGGGGTCAAGAGATAATCCACGAAAAATTCCACCACAAACAGGCAAGGGGAAGGAGAAAGTATCCTCAATAAATAAAGCTGGCAAGATTATACAGCTACTATATAAACAAAACTATGATATAAATATACCTCACACGCAACAAATGATAACTGCTCCAATTTCTTAATATAAATATGCTTTTATCGAACGGTTTGCTTAGAATTATTTGATCGACTTCTGTAAATGACAGAAGACAAAACTTTGTATCACAGTTTTATAAATGTTTCAGGTTGTTAGTTAACTAGAATGACACCTGAACACCTGCGGTGAAACAGCCAAAAAATGAATCACACGGCACAACTTTGGAATGATGAAGCTAATATCAGTGACGCAAAAATACCCCAGAGGTGATGATCTTTCGCGTAAAACAAAGTGGTCAGCCTACTTGTTACTGAATCATTTACAGGCAAGTTGGCTATGGAAAACTGAAACTTTTTGATTATTATTCTCCTACAGTTAGTGGAAAAAGATGACAAAGTAAATGAGTTTCTGAAAAGCTTTTCACATCAAGCTGTAGTTTTTCTTACAACTGATTATTAATATACTGAAATTATCTATCCAATCTGGCCTATTGCTTAGGTATGGTATTTTGGAAAGCTACAAGAATTATACTATTTGATCTAAGCAATGTTATAATTGTCCAGATTTATGTGAAAGGCGGTGCCAACTTCCACCTTCACATTTACCCCATCAATATAGCTGCGGTCGTTGGAGAATAGGGGGTTAGATAAAACCGTTCTGATTTTGAAATGTAGCCTTGGGCCAGCGTGGACCAAAGGCTGGAGTGGAAAAGCTGGATGGTGGTTGGGTTGCGAATCTTCAAACGAGGATCCCGAGCCTATCACAAAAGTGGTGTAGGTGGCTACTGTCAAAAAGTTGATGCTCGATGTTGTCTGTCGTAGAGGCTGCTGCTCAGTGTGATCCGCTAGGGTAGACCTGATTATGGGCGGTGTGCCACAAAGCACCTGATGAAAGATAAAAAAGATTTTATGCGTATGACATAAATTTTTCAATCACATTCAAAAAACAAAAGATTTCATGTGTATAAAGCATAACCCCCCCCCCCCCACCCCCTCATTTTCAATTTCCCATGTGGGTTATTAGGCCCATTTTGGGATAAAACTGCCCCCTCCCCCTCCCCCTTCCAGCATGTGTGGTTCCGGCCATATATGGAAGTCTGAACCTCATGACATCTAATTCTGACTAGCAATTATCCCCGGACTGGCTTTTCCCAGTCTTTGAGTGTGCCTAGTCTACCTGGAAGGAAGCAGGGTTGTCTGAATCATCTCCTTCAACCCATACAACATAGGTGATACTACCAGTAGTTCAACTACCATCAGAATAGTTCTTGAGGCTCAATGGAGCCAACAAGCACCTGTACCACACCTTGGTGACGACATAAGAAGGTAAAGTTACAGAAACATCCATGGACAAACATGGACATGTGGATAGATGCAAGCGAGGCTGGTGCAATCCTTATCAAGACTTAGCCCACAGGAAAATTCTAGCACATGATGGATCCTCCTAAAGACTCACCCTCTTTAAGACCATAACCCCTAGACCTCAGGTAACAGCCAGCGCAAAGAAGATTATCACAATTTACACACAAGCAACGAGGAAGAAACCCTATCTAAAACCCAGTTAAAATCTATTTTCCCACCAATAATTTCAACAGGGTTAATTTACAGAGAAAAAAAAAGTGGGGTGTGTGTGTGTGCGTGGAAAGACAGTGACAAACAAAGTAGAAGTGTGTTTTGAACTGTTTAAAAAAAATGGTAAAGGGTTCTTTTCATGCCATTAGGGCATCAGGTATAAGGTGCCGGACCAGACCAACTGGCACCACCAAAATTTTAACTCTTCGCTTGTTGCTTAAGACAGGAACAGGGTGCTTATGAGAATGGCCTGACTGCTGTGATATCGATTCTTATTCAACATTTCTATAAACCAATTGGTACTACATGGGTGATGGGGGTCAATATCACAACAGCCGCCTTTACTTTCAAGGATGTTCTGCTACCTGTTTTAGGCTGAGAACATATGTAAACTATAAACTATAAACAATCTGACTTGATGTGAATCTGAATGAAACAACATGGAAGCTTACCCAGTAAATGAACTGTGAACCTTTCAAATGAAAACAGAATCTGGTGAAAAACGACTGGCGAGTGAAGGGTGGTTAATTATACCAACAATCCGTCAGCTTTCACAGCTCTTGTCTAATGTGTTGTGCTTGGCAGAAGTCTCCACTGTTTGTCACAAACTCCATACAGGCGTGACCTATGTCCCCGAAAAACTGTGGAAGAAAATAAAGGTAACTGCAATATGGTGTGGTTGTACACAACTTTACAATGACACAGTACACAACTTCACAATGACATACTACACAGCTTACAATAACACACTACACAGCTTATAACACTAAACCCGACACACTCCATCCATCATCATCATCATGTAGCCAGTTCTCTCAAAGAGCAAGTCGCTCTCATTACTGTCCGGATTTAATCTTCACCTTATGGTCCAACACATCTGCTTTTAGCAAGTACTTAATCGGCACCTTTTACGATATGCTTGTTAATGCTTTCACTGCTACATACCACACAGCCATCTAGTACTACTGTGCCAAGCATATTCAATTTAGGTAATAAAACACAGGAAGAAAAATCTAATGGGTGTTACTGCAGCACTTAGTCTATTAGAAACGATGCTGCAGCCATGTATAACAGTTTCTCTAACCTCTTATCAGCAGCAGATTACTCTATCAGCTATTTTAAAAATTCATTTAATGGCATCGGATTTAGCAAATAAACTGCATCTACGGTTGCTTTTGTTTCTGTTTCTGGTAAGCTGTCATGTGGTCCTGGAAACAATTTCACCTGTTTTGCCTGTCTGTGGGTGTAAAGAGATTGAAGAACACTGGTTTAAGACGAATGGACCACCTTTACTGCACCACAGTTTTTTCTCCCAAATGACTCAGTTGCTCTCTGCAGAGTGGTGGTCACGTGTCAAGGGCATGACACAACAAGAGTTCAAAACCAAGAAACCGTTGTAGTATTGTGTGTGTGAAGTTCTAACAATGTAACCCCATATTTATGTGATAAAAGAACATCCGGTAACAGTATTCATAATACAAGAGATAATGATGTAAGGAAATGAAGGAAATGATCACTGGCACCACCACACGGCAACATGCCAGGATGTGAAGTGGCAAAAGTAAAGGCTATGTACCTACCACAGGACAGATGATGATGTCAAGGAGTGAAGTGACAAATGTCTTGTGTGGGAAAGAACAGGAAAAACACAGACAGGCCCTGCCCTTGAACAAACCCAATGACACTTTCAACAGATCTTTCCATAAATGAGCTAGGTGTCAAGTGCAGTCAGCCATTTCAAGCACCACAGCCAGTCTAACAAGCACATTAAAAACCACGCCCTGCATTGGGTATCTAAGAAACAATATATTAGGTATTCATATGGCCTGATCATTAAATGAAAGCTGAAGGTAAACTCAAATAATACTCCGGTACAGGCAAACAGAGTCCCATAAAACTGACACTGCTGTGTGAGATGACTGGTTCCTTTTCTCACTGCTGCCTAAGTGTGTATTATTATAGCCCAGCTTACTTCAACGGTATAGATCAGTGTTCCTCAACCTTTATAGACCTTCGGCTCAACAAAAACTATTTTTTTTTAATGTTTCACCGCCTATTTGACAGCTAACCAAACATGGAAACAAAAACAAATGTAGGTGGCAGGTTATTTGTTAAATCTGATGTAGAACTGCAGTTGTCAGCTAGTGGGACATCTGCTCTGCATAATAGTTTAAAAATCTGATAAATATTGGAGCGTTGTTTCTGATAGATGAAGCACTATTTTCAGTTTTAGTTTTTATTACAGGCATGGCTGAAAAGTTTTTTAACACACAGAAAAAAAAATGTCCCACAGTCGGATAGCTTTAAAACTTCTGACATGGCTATACTTTCTCAAAACAAGACTGACATCAGAAGACAAGTGGGTCAGCGTTTCTTCTTGGTGTTATTGTAAGTTGTGTGTAGTGTGCTACTGTAAGTTGTGTAGTGTGTTACTGTAAGTTGTGTGCAAAGTATTGTAAACTGTATAGTTTTTAAAAATTCTAAGTTGTGTGTAGTGCGTTTTTGTAAGTTGTGTGTAATGTATTGTTGTAAGCTGTGTAGTGTGTTATGGTAAGCTGTGAAGAGTATCACTGTAAAGTTGTGTACTATGTTATTATAAATTGTTATATACTGTAAGCTATGTAGTGTATTGTAATCTCTTTGAGTGTGTTGCTGTAAACTGTTTGCTGACTGTGTAGTTTATGTTCTACCAGACTGTTTTGCTAATTGTATTTTATTGTTTTGTTTTACACAAGAAGCATTTTGAGATCATTGTAAAATACAGCTTTAGGTACCCACTGAAAACACAGCTTTATATACTCCTTGAAATGACAGTTTTATGGATGGTATGTTATTGTAATTTGTAAGGTGTGTTATTGTAAGTTGTGTGTAGTGTTATTGTAAGTTACAATAACACACTACACACAACTTACAATAACACTACACACAACTTACAATAACACACTACACACAACTTAAATTACACACAATTTACAATAACACACCGCACAACTTACAATAATACACCACACAACTTAAATTACACACAATTTACAATAACACACCGCACAACTTACAATAATACACCACACAACTTACATTTACACACTACACAAAACTTAAATTTACATACTACACACAATTTACAATAACACACCGCACAATTTTTAATAACA